AATAGAACTTAAAGAAAGCGTTATACACAAGTGATTCACAAAGAATACTTAAATATTCTCATTGTATCCTCCATCGAAATACGCTATACATTTATACAAAATAACACATTTCTTCAAATATATAGGAAATCAAACGAAATAAATTTTTTCTAGAATTCTACGAAAATCTTTCCTATCTTTGAACTTAAAAATTTATTAATCGTATAAACGAAACATCTCTTCGAGGACAAAAAGAATTTCGAAAAATTTCACATACTCGAACGCGAGAAATTCCAATTTCTTTTCAATAATGGTCGAAAGCAAAGAACACATCGGAACTTTTAACCTTTTTCCCTCGAACAAGAATGGTTCAGAATAATGACGACGCACGGTGAATTCGTGGTCGTGGATCGCGCGAGAAAATAACGTAGTTTCTGGATAGTGGTTGCGGTTTCAAGGTGAATGAACAATCGAAAGTGGACGTTGGCTACATATGCGGGACGCAACCGGTGTTTTATCGTAGGATGCGCGAGGAAAACTCGAGAAACCGATTCTGAAAATGTCACTCTTGTGAGAATCGATCGAAGCTCTTATTCTCTAAGTCCTTTGATTATCGATGTGGATCGATCGCGTGGCTCGATTTTTCACGATTCTTTACGTCCACGATTCTTACGATTCTTACGTTCTTTGCATCCGTTTCTTTTACACAAGTCTCTGGAATAAGTTTTTAACCCTTTGCACTTCAGGCCTCGGTCGAACTAGCAACTCCAGACTCAGACCCGCGCGTTCAATGCGTTCGGTGGCCTCATAAAATAATTATTCATAAGATAAAATTACACTTCATAAGATTATACATAAATAGGAACCTATTTATGAAGCGATATTCTAAAAGAATCAAACATAAATAAAATAAATAAATATTGTAAAATAAATAAATATCAAAAATAAATATTGTCGCCATTCAAGTTGCAACAATCCCAGTGGTGCTGGAGAGTCATTATTGGAGAGCAGAGGGTTAATATATAAAACGTAG